AAATATTGAATAATAATCAAATGTTTGCAGCAGAGTTTGGTACAAGTGATCGTCGGAAAGAGTTAATGATTTGCGTCCATTATTATTGTAAAGTTACTTCTCATCACAACTGCTTTTTGATAGTAAATAAATGCCTTAGATTCATCCTTTTCAACTTTAACACCGAATTAATAACAGCATCCAACATTGTGAATTCCAGCAGAATTTCCTATATCTGCTGATTTTTGATAATAAATAAATGCCTTAGATTCATCCTTTTCAACTCCAACATCATGTTGGTAACAGTATCCAACACCAAGCATTCCATAAGCATATCCTATATCAGCTAATTTTTTATAATAGATGAATGTTTTCTTTTCGTCTTTCTTAATCCATATACAATAATTATAACAATTTGAAATGAGATCATATAGAACCATATGAACTAATTGATTTTCTAAACATTAGTTGATAATTTGAACTGGATTTGGATTTTTTTTTTCTAGGAATTGTTCTAGTTTGACAATATTTGTAGTAAAACTTTTGTTTTTTAATCTTTCTTTAGTATATAGATCATACATTTCTTTAATAATTTTATTAAAAAATTCATTTGACCTGTTATCTTCTAAATGAAGTTGGATAAAATCATTGACTGTTTGAATAACATCTAGACAACTTTTGATTTTTTCAGTCCATTTTAAAATTTGGTTATTGTAAGCCATTTTTGCACAAAAAAAAAAAAACTCTGTAAAATAATAAAAGGGCAAAACATGCTTAAATTGTTTTTTAATGCAAATTTAAATACAATTTTAGATAGCGATTGATGTTAATCATGTTGAAAATGGTTACAAGAGTGATCATCTAAAGTAGATTTGCTTATTTTACATGTGATATTTTGATAAATTAATGGTGTATATTAAAATTTTTGCAAATAATTTCTTTATTAGAAATGAGTTTTTGTTGTAAAATGAGTATAAATTGAAATGATAAATTATATATTATTTTTTTTATGATTTAAAATATATTAATTATATAAACTTTAATAACTAGGAGGTTTATTTAAGGATATCAGGAACAGAGTTTGTACAATGTACAATGTAGTGTATAGTTTACCTGAGAGTTAAATGCCCTGTACAAAATCTCAGATTTGATTGGATGTTTAATCCTTGTGACTTTATCTTATAATTTCTATATTTGTCTGATGAATTTTTGCATCAATATTATGCAATACTGCAATAAGTGCAGAAGTGGTTTATGTTTACAAAATCTTAAGTTTGATTGGTTCACATGACTTATTCATCAAATTTACCAGGAACAAATGTTTCTGTATGCGAAGTCTTGAAACTGATTGGTCTGCATAACTTATTTATAGTTTAGTAAAAAACAAAAAAAAAACTTATAAATGAGCATGTACATCTGTAAAATCAAAGATGCAATAACAAACAGTAGTAAAAATAAATTTGTTGTCACAAAAATTAGTGACCCAATATAAAATTAAAGTCCTCAATGCTAAATATTTTGTAATTTTCATATTTTTTTCATCAAATTTTTTATCAGGCGATAAAATGATAATCACTGATTGTTAAAAACTTAATTGAAAAATTTGTCAATCTTTTCTAAATATGTAGATATGTTATGTAAATTTTAATGACCCAGAATTTTGGGTCAGATTCATCAGAATTGAGTAATGCTAGCTAACCAACTATATAGCAATTAGACATTGACTTCATTAATAGGTTTTTAGGCTCAGTCACTGAATATTTAGATTGCAAGTACTATCAATTTCTTTTATAAAGAGTTATTTTCTTATACCAGAAATGGATTGCAATAAAGAATATAGTTTCCTATAACTAAAATGGAGTCTGCATAGATTTTTCTGTTTATGTTTTGTGCAACAATATTGCATAGCTACTTATTGGATTTTATGCTTGAAGAATCGAAGAAAAAAAAAACTACTTACAAAATCAAATATGTTAATATTTACCAAAAACAGAGTTTGTACAATGTACAACATAGTGTATAGTTTACCTGATCCTTGTGACTTTATCTTATGATTTCTATATTTGTCAGATGAATTTTTGCATCAATATCATATATGAGGTGCAATAAGTGGTTTATGTCTACAAAATCTTAAGTTTGACTGACTATATGACTTATTTATCAAATTTACCAGAAACAGAATATGGAATACATACATTATATAGTGTGAGCCTAATTTTTGTAATTCACAAGGGCTTGAATCGAGCAACGATTCCTACCCAATTTGAAGTCACGTGAAAAGTAACAGAAATGTTACTTCTATTACTTTCTTACTTCCATTACTTCTGTTACTTATGCTATTTCTTTTACGTATAAGATAAATGAGATATCAGCCTTTTCTCAAATATAATTAGAATATAACAGATATTAGATTTATGTTAGAAATTAATAACCAATGTAAATAAGAGTTTTATTATAAATAAAGAGCCTTTTACCCAGGGAGAAAATAAGAAGTGATACCCACAAGTAAATACAACTGCTTAAATAAACTTAAAGTATCGGATCCATATTAAAAGTAAACTGTAACCCAACTCAAAACTATCGTTAAACCCATCATCATTAACTAGTGTTCATCCCTTATTAAATTACTAAACCGCATTTACATCGTTCACTACAAGTTGCATGACAAAGTTGTTAATGCAAGAGAAGAACTCCAACCCGATTTGGTGATCGTAATCCAAGGTTAAGGAAGTCATACAAAAGAGGACAAGAGAAGGCAAAGATTAGTAAAAGAATAGGTTGAAGGAAAAGACTTAGAGAAAAGAGACGAGAACTTATCTATAGATAAACCACTAGCCAAATCTAATATGCCTATTTCGACTTAGCCACCATAGGTTACATGAGAATTGGATGGAATTAGCAACTAACTTGCTAATTTGCTGTGCAACAATAGGGTATGCTTTACTTAAGAGTTAAATGATATATGCAATTCTTAGTATATGATTGGGTTATCCTTCATTGTGACCTTATGTAGCACCCAAACAATATGATAGATACTGTTAAAGTCATCTGTCCTTCTGATTAGTTAGTAAATCACATGACCTGACCTTCGACCAAAACATGGCAGTCATACAAACCTGTATTGGATGCTAACTAATCTAATAGATTGAATCGATATTCACCCCCACTCCTATTTTTCTTATTTTATATATTATTATCTAGTAACTTTTTTATTTCTTCTTTTCTTTATATAGTTAACCAACATAGAATTAGTATTAACAAGTGAACAATAGATTAGTTGTGCAGATCTATAGTAATGAACATGTATAAATAGCTCTAATATTATATTGTTGAATCAGTATGCTTCTACTTGAGACATACTTAATAAGAGTCATCATGTCTTCATATATGAAAAACTCAAGGATTTTATTAATAAACTGATATACGTCTATTTGTATCTTCATATACATTTATACATGGTCTCTTTCATAATTGCAAATCACTCTAAATCCTCTTAAAACATCTATGCTAGTTATTGGCATAAATACTTATTATATAAGACAGTTGTAAGACATTCAATTATTATCGTTCTCTTTACTATCGTCTTACATTAACCTACACTTATAAAAAGGTAGTCTAGGTCTAACAATTTGGTGGTGACTGTAAGATTCAATCTCAATTATTTTAAATTAGTACTGTATAATATCAATTGTAACAAACACGACTTAACACAATACTACTGATCTGAATCCCCTTGAGAAAATAACAACTGGACATTTCACCTGTGAGTTGACCAACATATTAGAAAAACAAGCATATCTAAGTAGTATATGCTTGAATACAATAAGTTTGTAGAAAGGAACAACCAACACGATCAGCAACATATACTTCACTTCAGTACTAACTTACAAACATTGCAACAAATCCAAGAAATTCTTGCAGATTATTCTTGCAGACTGTGTTACTCTTTTGTAGCAAACCTCTCACCATCTTTTAGAAACTTCTGGACTTGGTTTTTTGTCACATATCCTGTATTTAAATACACTGAATATATGATTTATATCTTTCAATTCAATAACAATATGAGGATCTGTTAGAAGAAGATTTTTAAGCTCTAATCTATATATGTCGATATCTACAAGACCCTGGTTTTGATACATTAGCAGGTTATCTGACTCAAGTTTATCAATAGACCAACCAATTCGATCTTGATCTTTTTCAAATCCTCTATAGTCCTATAGACCAGGAAAATTCTGACTTAGACTTAGAGCTTGAAAGACTATTTCATATATCGTCTTCTTCTCATATTAATCAAAATATGGCCACGATACAAGATGTTTTGAATTTTCTTCAAAATAATCAAAAGGACTCAATTCTCTTAAGAATAGAACCTTTTCTAGTGGATGGCACACAAGATCCTTAGGCCTGGTTAGAAAGTTTTGAGAAAGCTACTGCTGCAAATAGATGGAATGATAAACGAAAAAAAAAGGTTTATCTGCCTTTTTACATGGCAATGCTAATGAATAGTAGTAGACATATTACGATGCTTATAATGTGACTGGACTACCACCATGGGTCATTTAGAGGATGATTCTGCAATCAACATTGGCAAAACAAATGGTTAAGGGACCTAGATACTCTAAAACAACTTCCTGATAAATCTGTAGATACATATTATAGTAAATTCAAATGGCTGATTAAGCAGATGGAAACAGAAGGAAATCTTCAAGACACCCAGAAATTATATTATTTTAAAAAAGACTTGTGTCCAGAAATACTATCTTTAATCCTAATGCATAATCTTGCTAACCTAGAAGCTGTCCTTAATTTTGCTATACTCATGAGCAAGAGACTGATTTTGTGCTAGATAACAGTCCAGAACAGTTGGGAAAGATGACAAATTATAACAAAGAGATAGAGCAACTTATCAGGCAAATGCATCAGATGATACTAAACTATGCTACTATTGACTTTGTGCTTACAGCACAGACTAATAGGGTGGTACATAAAATACCATTGCCTCTACAAGAGTTATGATATAGAAAACCAACTATATTTAGCTGTTATAGATGTAGCAAGTTAGGTTATTATATTAAGGATTGTTTAACAGAATGATTACCATCGAAGGAACAACGTTATCAGTCTTATAAATGACCTAATGCTAAACAAAATAAGAACATTAATTTTGTAGAGGTAGATGATAACAAATATGAGGAAATCTACATTAATAATGCTCACTATCCCCAACCTTACAACATTGATAAAAAGGAGCAAAGAGAGAAGCAAAAACAGTCATCCTTCTATAAAGAGCCTGTTTTTCAAAAGATAGTACCAAAACCCCCTGTTCCCATGGAAATCCCAATAGATGTAGAAAACAACCCAGTCCAACCTACCATAAAGAGAATCATAAAAAAATGATCACTATTAATTATTAACCAGCTTAGCCCATACAACATAGCTGAAGATTTGTTAAGTATGCAAGCTCATGCCACATATGGCCAATTATTGCAGTACCCAAACCAATGCTAAAATCTGGCAAAAGTATTATGATATAAGAAGGTTACAGCCACTGAGATTAATTATTTTAAGGCCAATAATCTGAAAAAAACTGTTGCAATGCAATGTTATATATGCATAAATGAAAATTCAGTAGTTGTCATATTAAATTCAGAAGCTGCTGTAAGTATTGTTATCCAAAAACTAAAAAATAAATTAGGTTTAGATATCAATAAGCCTTTTAAAACAGTTGTAATTATGGCTAATAGAAGCCAGACAAAGGCTCTTGGGATCATAAGAATAACTTTACATAATAAAGTTATTCCAATTGATCTACAGGTAATTGAGTCACAGAAAAAAACCCTGTTATTGGATAAAGACTGGTTTAATAAGTCCAGAGCTAAGTTGGACTTTGATAAAAATACCTTAAGCATTAGATATTTAGAAGACAAGCTACCATTAATCCAACCCACATGAGTAACAAAAACATAATCCAGGAACTAGAAGAGTTTACTGATAAAGAAAATTGGATTGATAAACTAAAGGAAGGTAGTGAAGTCAAACAAGAAGCTTTCTTCACTGATGAGTTAACTTTTGAGGATGACAAGTTATTTTACAACCCCTGGACAAATGACAACCCTGCTGTGTACTTAACTGAGTCATCATGACAGTGTCATAACTTAGAACAACCTAATATGCAAAATGATTTAATAATCAATCAAAAAGAGCAAATGCATAATTTGTTAATCTGAAATTCAGAAATTTTTGCCAAAAAAATAAGCAAAAACAGTTAAACAACAGATTTGAAACATATGAACCTTGTATGTCATGAGATAAGTACAGAGGATGCCAAACCAATTAAGCAATACCCATATAATACAGCACTTAATGAGCAAGAGTTTCTGAAGCAAGAAATACATAAAATAAAGAAAAAGGGAATAATTCGTGAAGCCAAAAACCCATGAGCTTCGCCCATTGTTATTGTTCCAAAAAAGAACAAAAAAATAAGATTTTGCATTGACTACTGTAAATTAAATATGTTAACTAAAAAAGATGTATACCCTTTACCCAATATCAATAAAATTTTATCCGTATTTAAGGGTGCTAGGTGGTTTTCAAGTCTTGACCTAGCAAATGGATATCAGCAAATTGCAGTCAAAAAGAAAAATAAGAAGAAAACTGCATTTATTACCAAATTTGGCACCTATGAATTCAACGTAATGCCATTTGGATTATGTAATGCTCCCTTAATCTTTCAACAGTTAATGAATGATGTCTTGGAACTATGTATAAACAAGTTCATAGTTATCTACCTCGACAATATCACAGTATACTCAAAAATGTTTAATAAGCATAAGAAACACCTATAACAAGTTTTAGATATAATTGCCAAGGCGAATTTAAAATTAAATTTGGAAAAATGTACATTTTTCCTAAAGGAAATCAAATTTTTAGGTCATGTCATCAGCATGCATAAAGTTTGACCAGATAATGAAAAAATAGAGTAAATTAAAAATTTTCCTATACCTACTACTCTAAGGCAAATTAGAGGTTTTTTAGGACTTATATCATATTATAGAAAATTTATAAAAGGATTTTCCAAAGCGCTAAACCCTTAAACCAATTGTTGCAAAAGGATGTGCTATATAAATAGACCATCGACCAAGATAACACATTCAATATCCTAAAAAATTACTTAATTACCACTCCAATTCTACAATATCCAGAGTTCAATCATTCCTTTTATATATACATGAATGCTTCAACTTCTGGATTGGGTGCAGTACTTGCCCAACTAGATGATAACAAAAGGAAATATGTGATAATCTATGTTAGTTGAAGTTTAAATCAATCTGAACAAAATTATTCCATTATAGAACTAAAATGCCTCATGATAATATGGGCCATAGAACATTTCTATCAGTATTTGGAGTCAAAGCCCTTTTTCCTCATAACAGATCACTCAGCTCTATAATAGTTAAGAACCTCTGAACTAAAAGGAAAGCAAGCTAGATAGGTCATGAGATTGAAACCATACAATTTCATAATTATGCATCAACCTGGTCATAAACACAATGATGCTGACACTTTATAAAAAAAATAAAAAAGACATTCGAGAATTATACTTAACTGAGGTAGAATATAATTTTGAATTCACAAATAGCAAAGACAAAATGGATATGGTAATAAGGGAAGTAAAAAGAACACTACAATATGACCTACCAAAATGTGCTGTTAGGGGAATAAAGCCATACCAGCAAATTAGATTTACATTCCAAGGGATACAGTATGATGGACAATCAAGTACATAGTATTATATTGAGTACATAAAACAATAGTTAGATAGTAATCCAAAAAGAAAAACTTGGACCTTAGATTGGAAAGGTCCTAGTGCACAGTGTTGGTATAGTGATAAATTGTATTTACTATCTGATGAGTGTTTTGCTTGCTACTATGATTTGAAGTTATGGGTTACTGTTAAACATTGTCCCATTACAAAGATAGCTAAGTGTTATCAGACAATACCAGAGGAATTAGTGAATGGGAAAATACAACAAAAATCTTATGAACTAAGAGAAATTTTAGTATGCGTAAAAGATATAATTAACAACTACATCGAAAATAGTGAACAACACAAATTCAGAAATTATTCATGATAGCTAATGATACTCGAAACTCCTTCCATAGCACATTATTTAGAGTTCAATAACTTATCTAATACGTATCTCTGTAATTCAATGTAATGAAAAGTCCCTAATCCCACTGAATACTTGTTGAATTAGTCAACCATTAGAAAGTGAACCATCCTCAAATAACACTAAACCTTGTAAGTCAGTCACTGCAACTGTACAACTGCAAAAAAAAATATATATATATTTATATAAATAAAATATTTTTTTGTATACAGAAATAGTTAATAATATCCACACCATGGAACCTACTAAATACCAACAAATAAAATTCTTTTTAGAAAAGGCACAATACCTATCCAATCTTAGTAATTGACAGAAAAAACAGTTAGAAAGCCAAAACAGATTTTTCGTAATATATAATTGTCTGCTTTACAAAAGAGATCATCAGAAGCAGAGCAAAAATCAGTTAATAAGGGTAATACAGCAAGATCAGGTGGCACCAATATTATATCTAATGTATAATCACCCTATTGGAACCCACCTAGGAATGGAAAAAATGTTCAATAAAATTAGAATTAGTTATTATTGACCCCAAATGTATAAAGCAATACAAGAATATATAAAAACATGTGATGAATATCAGAAGTGTAGAAAACATAGAGTACAAGGATCCTTACACCCCATACCTGTCGAAGCCCTATTTTATAAAATAGGAATAGATATTGTAGGACCTTTAAATTGAAAAATAAAAGGAAATCAGTATATTATAGTCGCAACAGACTATATGACAAAATGGCCAGAAGCCAGGGCCGTTTCTAATGCCATTGCAAAACAGACTGCTGAATTCGTCTACTAGAAAATTATATGCTGTCACAGATGTCCTTCTTATATAATTTTAGATAAAGATGCCCATTTTCATAATGAGTTAGTAAAAGTCCTAATGCAGAAGTTCAAAATTAAACACCTATTTTTGACACCATACTACTCTCAAACGAACAACTTAGTAGAAAGGTTTAATCGAACTCTATGTGAGTCCTTAGCTAAATTGATTGACAAAGATCAAGAGTGGGACATATTAATACCTTCTGTATTATTCATGTATTGAATGTCAAAGTAAGCAACAACGAAACTTACTCCATTCTATCTCACTTATAGACGAGAAGCCAAATTCCCAGATTTTCAACAGACAATGCCAGTAATAAGAAATATCAACAACAGAATAAGAGTGTTGGTCAATAATCTACCTATTAAATATAAAATCGCAAGAGGGAATATTAATAAGGCCCAGATGCAACAAAAGTTCTATTGGAATAAATGATTGAAGAAGGTTCATAAAATTTTTAAAACAGAGGATAAGGTTCTGTTGTATAATGCTATGCAGAATAAGCAACTTTCTGGCAAGTTCTTACCAAAATAGTTAGGACTGTATTTAATTCATTGTCACGTTACATCAGATGTATACCAGTTACAGACAATGGATAGACAGATCATCGACACATCCTATAATGTTTTGTTACTCAAAACATATTACAGTTGAATTAGGTGAAATGTATAAATTCGACAGATCATAACTGTTGAATATATGTTTTATTAAAGTAACAAAGGAATTCAATAGATAACTTGTTCCCAATCTCTCTTCTCTATTTCGATCTTACTGAGCTCGAAACAATTAGCCCTGAAGTAGAACTGCCACCATATGAACGGTCTGATAATTTAAGAAGAAAGATCAAGAAGACTTATAGACAATTAAGACAAGCTATCACCAATGACCAGAGAACCAAATCTCTAATTTCCACTTATTATTTGAGATATCTTCTGGAGGAAAAAGTGAAAACCCCAGCCCATAAAACATTGTATAGTAATATGCTAACCCAATATTATCAAAGAACTTCAATTAGAGTGTATTATATTTTTAAAAGGTTTGGTGTCAAATCCATATACCAAACCAAAACCCTCAAACTAGAAACAGTATATAGGCTTACAGCCCAAGATTACCAGTACTTGATCAAATAATTCTTGTAGAAACTCGAAAACAAGAGGGGAAAAATTGTTAAAGTCACCTGTCCTTCTGATTAGCTCGGTAAATCACATGACCCGACCTTCGACCAACACACGGCAGTCGTACAAACCCGTATTGGATGCTAACTAATCTAATAGATTGAATCGA